GCGTCATTCAGCGCTAGAGGTTGTGCTACAGCTAGCGTCATTCAGCGCTAGAGATTGTGCTACAGCTAGCGTCATTCAGCGCTAGAGGTTGTGCTACAGCTAGCGTCATTCAGCGCTAGAGATTGTGCTACAGCTAGCGTCATTCAGCGCTAGAGGTTGTGCTACAGCTAGCGTCATTCAGCGCTAGAGCTTGCATCGAAAAATTGTTTAACGTATTGCTTGTAGAGTCGGGAACATTGTGAAGGAGAGAAATTTCGGGGAAAATCATTCGACATTTTTTACGCCGATTCATGAAAATGAAAACTATTCCGAATAATGTTTGACTGGCACATGAAGAAAGTCTGTGTTGTACCGAAAGATTCCAACACATCTTGTAGTCAAGTGTTGTAGTCAAGCAGCGTAGCTTAATTGACACGGACGCTCCGGTCATTAAAGTACAATGTAGAGAACCATCATCAAAAAGACATTTCAAGCAGCGAATAAAAATGCTTGACCACTGGCCAGCCGTGTCCAGCTAATGACCTGCACATGTGCCGACATCTGTATCTCGTCATATCTAACGCGCCGTCTGACCCACATACCTCACTCCAACCCTAACCCTACAACTAACCCTAACATTAACCCTAACCCTAACCCTAACTCTAACCCTAGCACTAACCCTAACCCTAGAATTAACCCTAGAATTAACCCTAGTCCTAACTCTAACTCTAACCCTAGCACTAACCCTAACTCTAGAGCTAACTAGTGGCGTAAATCTAATACAAACCAGTCTCTTGTTCAAATATAGAGGGTGGTCAGTTGAGTGGGGGGTAGGGGTGTGGTCAATTGAGTGGAGGGTAGGGGTGTGGTCAATTGAGTGGAGGGTAGGGGTGTGGTCAGTTGAGTGGAAGGTAGGGGTGTGGTCAATTGAGTGGAGGGTAGGGGTGTGGTCAGTTGAGTGGGGGGTAGGGGTGTGGTCAATTGAGTGGAGGGTAGGGGTGTGGTCAGTTGAGTGGGGGGTAGGGGTGTGGTCAATTGAGTGGAGAGTAGGGGTGTGGTCAATTGAGTGGAGGGTAGGGGTGTGGTCAGTTGAGTGGGGGGTAGGGGTGTGGTCAGTTGAGTGGAGGGTAGGGGTGTGGTCAATTGAGTGGAGGGTAGGGGTGTGGTCAGTTGAGTGGGGGGTAGGGGTGTGGTCAATTGAGTGGAGGGTAGGGGTGTGGTCAATTGAGTGGGGGGTAGGGGTGTGGTCAGTTGAGTGGGGGTTAGGGGTGTGGTCAATTGAGTGGAGGGTAGGGGTGTGGTCAATTGAGTGGGGGGTAGGGGTGTGGTCAGTTGAGTGGAGGGTAGGGGTGTGGTCAATTGAGTGGAGGGTAGGGGTGTGGTCAGTTGAGTGGAAGGTAGGGGTGTGGTCAGTTGAGTGGAAGGTAGGGGTGTCGTCAGTATCGTGGAGGGTAGTGGGATGTGTTTTCTTCAATCTAACAGCCGTCAAACTTGGCCAACAGACGCCAACATGAGCGAACAGTGTACGAGCTGTTGAAAGCTCATCACCCTGAGCCGAGCTTGGGCTTAGGGTTAGGCTTAGGGTTAGGGTTAATGCTAGTGTTAGGGTTAGGGTTAATGCTAGGGTTAGGGTTAGGGTTAATGCTAGGGTTAGGGTTAGTGTTAATGCTAGGGTTAGGGTTAGGGTTAATGCTAGGGTTTGGGTTAATGCTAGTGTTAGGGTTAGGGTTAATGCTAGGGTTAGGGTTAATGCTAGTGTTAGGGTTAGGGTTAATGCTGGTGTTAGGGTTAGGCTTAGGGTTAATGCTAGGGTTAGGGTTAATGCTAGGGTTAGGGTTAATGCTAGTGTTAGGGTTAGGGTTAATGCTAGTGTTAGGGTTAGGCTTAGGGTTAATGCTAGGGTTAGGGTTAGGGTTAATGCTAGGGTTAGGTTTAGGGTTAATGCTAGGGTTAGGGTTAGGGTTAATGCTAGGGTTAGGGTTAATGCTAGTGTTAGGGTTAGGGTTAATGCTAGTGTTAGGGTTAATGCTAGTGTTAGGGTTAGGTGGCTGTTAGAAGCGCGTCTCTAAATGTGAGCCGCCTTGCTGGCTAATCTTTTCACCAGCTGGTCGCGTCCTTGGTTACATTAGATGGTGTATATACCAGTGGTGTCCACATTTTTAGATGTCTAGGTGGGTGTTATAATTGTACAGACACCTTCAATGGTTTAGAGTGCGGGAAGATCTAGTTCTAATTGTACATCGATCTTGGAGTAGTTTGACCTACATCCACCTTGGAGTAGTTTGACCTACATCCACCTTGGAGTAGTTTGACCTACATCCACCTTGGAGTAGTTTGACCTACATCCACCTTGGAGTAGTTTGACCTACATCCACTGGACCTACATCCACCTTGGAGTAGTTTGACCTACATCCACTGGACCTACATCCACCTTGGAGTAGTTTGACCTACATCCACTGGACCTACATCCACCTTGGAGTAGGTGGACCTACATCCACCTTGGAGTAGATGGCCGTACATCCACTGGACCTACATCCATCAAAACTCCCGCTGTCTCGACGATGTAGAATTTATGTCTTTAATATTCGATGTCTGTTTGCTGAAGATTTACGTCCCCTGGTTTCACAACCCAGGGGAGATAACGACCGTACAACTCAGCGCCCGCCCGATCTTAACGTAGGCAGATCTGATTTGTTCGTAATAACGTACCTTGTGTTAACTTTACTTTGTGTTAACTTTACCTTGTGTTAACTTTACCTTGTGTTTACTTTATGCTAACTTTACTTTATGCTAACTTTACTTTATGCTAACTTTATGCTAACTTAACTTTGTGCTAACTTTACTTTATGCTAACTTAACTTTATGCTAACTAAACTTTATGCTAACTTTACTTTATGCTAACTTAACTTTATGCTAACTTTACCTTGTGCTAACTTTACTTTATGCTAACTTTACTTTATGCTAACTTAACTTTGTGTTAACTTTACCTTGTGCTAACTTTACTTTATGCTAACTTTACCTTGTGCTAACTTTACTTTATGCTAACTTTACTTTATGCTAACTTTACCTTGTGCTAACTTTACTTTAACCTATGTTATCGCTACCTTCGAATAACCCCGTGGAAAGATTCATTTCCTATTTCTGACAGGTGGTTGCTATGTTATCGCTACCTTCGAATAACCCCGTGGAAAGATTCATTTCCTATTTCTGACAGGTGGTTGCTAAGCAACGTTTGAGATTGTTACTAATGGTTTGACGATGATAAAAAATGTATGCTTCGAAGAAATTCGTCATACAACACAGGATCATACAACACAGCATCATACAACACAGCATCATACAACAAAACATCAAACAAGAACTAATGTGTGGAGAGACAAGAGCTAAAGTGTGGAGAGACAGGAGCTAAAGTGTGGAGAGACAAGAGCTAAAGTATAGAGAGACATGAGCTTAAGTGTGGAGAGACAGGAGCTAAGGTGTGGAGAGACAGGAGCTAAGGTGTGGAGAGACAGGAGCTAAAGTGTGGAGAGACAGGAGCTAAGGTGTGGAGAGACAGGAGCTAAGGTGTGGAGAGACAGGAGCTAAGGTGTGGAGAGACAGGAGCTAAAGTGTGGAGAGACAGGAGCTAAGGTGTGGAGAGACAGGAGCTAAGGTGTGGAGAGACAGGAGCTAAAGTGTGGAGAGACAGGAGCTAAGCTGTGGAGAGACAGGAGCTAAGGTGTGGAGAGACAGGAGCTAAGGTGTGGAGAGACAGGAGCTAAGGTGTGGAGAGACAGGAGCTAAGGTGTGGAGAGACAGGAGCTAAGGTGTGGAGAGACAGGAGCTAAAGTGTGGAGAGACAGGAGCTAAGGTGTGGAGAGACAGGAGCTAAGGTGTGGAGAGACAGGAGCTAAAGTGTGGAGAGACAGGAGCTAAGCTGTGGAGAGACAGGAGCTAAGGTGTGGAGAGACAGGAGCTAAAGTGTGGAGAGACAGGAGCTAAGGTGTGGAGAGACAGGAGCTAAAGTGTGGAGAGACAGGAGCTAAGGTGTGGAGAGACAGGAGCTAAAGTGTGGAGAGACAGGAGCTAAGGTGTGGAGAGACAGGAGCTAAGGTGTGGAGAGACAGGAGCTAAAGTGTGGAGAGACAGGAGCTAAGGTGTGGAGAGACAGGAGCTAAGGTGTGGAGAGACAGGAGCTAAGGTGTGGAGAGACAGGAGCTAAAGTGTGGAGAGACAGGAGCTAAAATGGAGAGACAGGAGCTAATGTGTGGAGAGACAAGAGCTAAAATGGAGAGACAGGAGCTAATGTGTGGAGAGACAAGAGCTAAAATGGAGAGACAGGAGCTAAAGTGTGGAGAGACAAGAGCTAAAATGGAGAGACAGGAGCTAAAGTGTGGAGAGACAGGAGCTAAGGTGTGGAGAGACAGGAGCTAATGTGTGGAGAGACAAGAGCTAAAATGGAGAGACAAGAGCTAAAATGGAGAGACAGGAGCTAAAGTGTGGAGAGACAGGTGTGGAGAGACAGGAGCTAAAGTGTGGAGAGACAGGAGCTAAAGTGTGGATAGACAAGAGCTAAAATGGAGAGACAGGAGCTAAAGTGTGGAGAGACAGGAGCTAAAATGGAGAGACAAGAGCTAAAATGGAGAGACAAGAGCTAAAGTATGGACAGAAAAGAGCTAAAGTATAGAGAGATACGAGCTAAAGTATGGAGAGACATGAGCTTAAGTGTGGAGAGACAGGAGCTAAAATGGAGAGACAGGAGCTAATGTGTGGAGAGACAGGAGCTAAATGGAGAGACAAGAGCTAAAGTATAGAGACAGGAGCTAAGGTGTGGAGAGACAGGAGCTAAAGTGTGGAGAGACAAGAGCTAATGTGTGGAGAGACAGGAGCTAAAATGGAGAGACAAGAGCTAAAATGGAGAGACAAGAGCTAAAGTATGGACAGAAAAGAGCTAAAGTATAGAGAGACACGAGCTAAAGTATGGAGAGACATGAGCTTAAGTGTGGAGAGACAGGAGCTAAAGGCTAAAGTGCATGACTGACCTGGTCCGGTGGTAGGACGAAAGCCTTGTTGTAAAGCCATGTTGTTGAAAGTGTTCCAAGGCGACAAGTCGCTGCCGATGTAGGGCGCATAGTTCCCTAGACCATTCGAGCGTCCCAACGAACTTGCAAACCCAGTGGACTCGCTCCTGGGTGGTGTTGCTGTTGATGGTGTAGGAAAAGCGAATGTGTTGTTGTGCGCGTACGCAGTGACGTCATTAGGTGAAGTCCAAATAGATGACGTTGTAGGCGTGGTCATATTTGGATTGGGCGTGGTCATGTACTGAACAGGTAACATGGCTCTAGTGGGGGGCACGTACACTGGACTTGTTCCTGAAATCAAATATTTCACGCTAAGCGTTCACTCTACATCATCTTACACTTAGCGTACACGCTACAACATCTTACACTTAGCGTACACTCTGCAACATCTTACACTTAGCATACACTCTACAACATCTTACACTAAGGGCACACTCTACGATTGTAGGAAAAAAAGTCACAGGAAAAAAAAACACAGGAAAAAAAAACACAGAAAAAAAGTCACAGGAAAAAAAGTCACAGGAAAAAAAGTCACAAATGTATATTTGCATGATATTTGTTAATACTTTTATGTATTAAATATTTAGAGAGTGCAAATTAACTTAGGATTAATTAAATGTAATGTAATGTGTGTAGGCTGTATACGCATAGGAATTTTTATAATTCATCTAAAAATATTTATTATGAAGTATGTAGATTGTAATTATTTTAAACTTAAAATTAGTAGCATTTAATAGAATGCTCCAAAGTCCACGGTTTTCATCGTGTTTTTTTTTTAAATACCAATATTAAATTACCGTGAAATGGTAAGTTCATCTGACTTGCTGCCCTCAACTCATGGCAACAATAGTTATGTTTAGTTCAACCACCTTTACTGCCCACATTTATCACGCTCATTACATAACAAAACTTAGGATCAAAACAGAAAGCCGACAAGGTTCAAAGGCTGTCATTGACGCGTAACGTCAACAACACAAAATATGTTCGGACAATGCCTACTGAGGAGAGGCCGACCAGAGAATAGCCTACGGCAAAATTTGCCTAAATTTCTTTTATAATTAACTTTTCTACCGCGTATTTAACTAAATACGTAACAAGTTGAGATTGTTGCGTAAATTATCTTAGAGTATTTTTACTTACAATTTTTATAAATCATAATGCTTTTAACGTCTATAAATAATTTATGCTATCAAAAAATACAACCCACAACAATAAACATACAAAATTTTACAATTGTAAACAAATTAATAAAAATATTTCTAAAAAGATTTTTGTGACTTTTTTTCTGTGACTTTATTTCTGTGACTTTTTTTCCGATAAAATTTTTCCACTGTGACTTTTTTTCTGTGACTTTTTTTCCTAGCAAAAACTGTGACTTTTTTTCTGTGTTTTTTTTTCCTGTGACTTTTTTTCCGTTTACCCACTCTACAACATCTTACACTTAGCGTACACTCTACATCTTACACTTAGCTTACACTCTACAACATCTTACACTTAGTGTACACTCTACAAAATCTTACACTTAGCGTACACTCTATAACATCTTACACTTAGCGTACACTCTACAACATCTTACACTTAGCGCACACTCTACATCTTACACTTAGCGCACACTCTACAACATCTTACACTTAGCGTACACTCTACAAAATTTTACACTTAGCGTACACTCTACAACATCTTACACTTAGCGTACACTCTACAACATCTTACACTTAGCGTACACTCTACATCTTACACTTAGCTTACACTCTACAACATCTTACACTTAGTGTACACTCTACAAAATCTTACACTTAGCGTACACTCTATAACATCTTACACTTAGCGTACACTCTACAACATCTTACACTTAGCGTACACTCTACAAAATCTTACACTTAGCGTACGCTCTACAACATCTTACACTTAGCGTACACTCTACAACATCTTACACTTAGCGTACACTCTACATCTTACACTTAGCTTACACTCTACAACATCTTACACTTAGTGTACACTCTACAAAATCTTACACTTAGCGTACACTCTACAACATCTTACACTTAGCGTACACTCTACAACATCTTACACTTAGCGTACACTCTACATCTTACACTTAGCTTACACTCTACAACATCTTACACTTAGTGTACACTCTACAAAATCTTACACTTAGCGTACACTCTACAACATCTTACACTTAGCGTACACTCTACAACATCTTACACTTAGCGTACACTCTATAACATCTTACACTTAGCGTACACTCTACATCTTACACTTAGCGTACACTCTATAACATCTTACACTTAGCGTACACTCTACAACATCTTACACTTAGCGTACACTCTACAACATCTTACACTTAGCGTACACTCTATAACATCTTACACTTAGCGTACACTCTACATCTTACACTTAGCGTACACTCTATAACATCTTACACTTAGCGTACACTCTATAACATCTTACACTTAGCGTACACTCTACATCTTACACTTGGCGTACACTCTATAACATCTTACACTTAGCGTACACTCTATAACATCTTACACTTAGCGTACACTCTACAACATCTTACACTTAGCGTACACTCTATAACATCTTACACTTAGCGTACACTCTACAACATCTTACACTTAGCGTACACTCTACAACATCTTACACTTAGCGTACACTCTACAACATCTTACACTTAGCGTACACTCTACACCACACACTCATCTGACGCTAAGCACTACATGAGGTTGGGTGTTACATTGTTATCTCACCTGCATTCAGGTATCCATTGCTTGCGGCCTCCTGCACGTAGCCTGCTGTGGACAATGCTAGGCTACTTTGGTACATCTTTTGCCCAATATTTTCTATAGCACCCTCAAACCGGATGTCGTCAGAGCAATCACCTGCGACGTCACAGTTAATAACTTGATCAGCCTTGACCCTCAGCTTGCCGGACGAAGAGTTGCTGTTCTTGCAGCCAGACTCTTGGCCTAATCCTAACCCAATCGCTAAATCTTCGGTCTTTGCGCGGATGTCCGAGAAAACTCGACGTTTGGTGCTGTCCAAATGGTCAAAAAAATGTTCGACGTCACGACTAGCCAGGAGTGGTCCAGACGGCGCCAAGCTAGGCTTCATCCCACGCTACATCAAACCTCTGTTGGCCACTTGATGTCTGTTGGCCACTTGATGTCTGTTGGCCACTTGATGTCTGTTGGCCAACTAATGTCTGTTGGCCAGTTGATGTATGTTGGCCAATTGATGTCTGTTGGCCACTTGATGTCTGTTGGCCAGTTGATGTATGTTGGCCAATTGATGTCTGTTGGCCAGTTGATGTCTGTTGGCCAGCAAAGGAATTAGGCAAAATACTTGGGTTAGGGTTAATGTGAAATTGCAATAGGTTTGAAGATCTCTCGATAAACAAACGAGTGTGATGGTTTTGTGATGTTTTGTGACAATGTTGAACCTAGAAGATCCTTACAGATATTCTGCTCTTTTTCATCATGTTTATGTCAGATGAGATGGTGTTTATGTCAGGTGAGATGGTGTTTATGTCAGGTGAGATGGTGTTTATGTCAGGTGAGATGGTGTTTATGTCAGGTGAGATGGTGTTTATGTCAGATGAGATGGTGTTTATGTCAGGTGAGATGGTGTTTATATCAGGTGAGATGGTGTTTATGTCAGGTGAGATGGTGTTTATGTCAGGTGCGATGGTGTTTATGTCAGGTGAGATGGTGTTTATGTCATGTGAGGTGGTGTTTATGTCAGGTGAGATGGTGTTTATGTCAGGTGAGATGGTGTTTATGTCAGGTGAGATGGTGTTTATGTCAGGTGAGATGGTGTTTATGTCAGGTGAGATGGTGTTTATGTCAGGTGAGATGGTGTTTATGTCAGGTGAGATGGTGTTTATGTCAGGTGAGATGGTGTTTATGTCAGGTGAGATGGTGTTTATGTCAGGTGAGGTGGTGTTTATGTTAGGTGAGGTGGTGTTTATGTCAGGTCAGATGGTGTTTATGTCAGGTGAGATGGTGTTTATGTCAGGTGAGGTGGTGTTTATGTTAGGTGAGGTGGTGTTTATGTCAGGTCAGATGGTGTTTATGTCAGGTGAGATGGTGTTTATGTCAGGTGAGATGGTGTTTATGTCAGGTGAGATGGTGTTTATGTCAGGTGAGATGGTGTTTATGTCAGGTGAGATGGTGTTTATGTCAGGTGAGATGGTGTTTATGTCAGGTGAGATGGTGTTTATGTCAGGTGAGATGGTGTTTATGTTAGGTGAGATGGTGTTTCTGTTAGGTGAGATAGTGTTTATGTCAGGTGAGATAATGTATATTAGCTGGTGTAGGGGGATTATTTTGGAATGAGAAGGTATTATTGGAGCGGGGTGGGTGTAGTGGGTTATTTTTTTGTATTGTGCAGGGCAGCCGACTGACCGTTTTCCAACGGAAAACTGGGTCGTCTAGTCTGAACTAAATTCATCACTATATTTTCTGAGAGGGTCATCTTAGGCAGAGTAAGCACTTTGCCTAAGACGGCACAGTAGGCACTTTTTTTAAGGCTCACAAAGTTTTAGGACCGACGAAATTAAATATTAGTAAACGAATTCATGAAAAAATACATTTTGGACCTACAAACGTCACAACGTGAGATATTGAAAACAAATGTATAATAGCAGATGACTAAGAAATTAAATCATAAAAGTTAGGCCTATAGCAAAAAAAAAAAAAAAAACTATTTTATGATTTAAATTGAAAGTTTAAAATATTCGTTTACAAATGTAATTACTTTTGCATCCCATTTACAAATTTAGTAATGTTTGAATCGGAGCGGTATTGTTTAAAAACTGAAACGTTATTATTGCATTGCGTTAACTGTGTGTCTCTTTGCGTTGACGAAGTTAGAAATGGCATCAATTCATGTCTTTTTGTGTTGACGAAGTTAGAAATGGCATCAATTCATGTCTTTTTGCGCAAGCAGTCAGCGGATTTGATTTTGGAAAGCAATGCAAGGGAGGGCAGTCGTACTTGTCTCATCAGTGACCAAAAGAAATGTCTGATGCGTCGGAGATTCAAAACTTGACATTCAACACTTGTTCCAAAAATTGAAAGATATTCGGAATCAAATATTCTACAACTTTTCCCTTTCCTTGTAGCCAAATGAATTCAGCCGTGGCATTTTGTCGCAGACACTTTTCAAAAGAAACGTACCCGTAAGGTCAATGTCTCGTCTAGAATTACGAATACAAAAAGTGCCTACGGCCATATGAAGACTCTGTTTTCTGTTGCTAATTTTTAAATGTATTCTATGTATCTATCTACCTGCCTGTCCATCTATCTGTCTCTCTGTCTATAGGTATTATATATATATATATATATATATATATATATATATATATATATATATATATAAATATATATATATATATAGGCTATATATATATATATATATGGCTATATATCAGTTGCGTAACGAGGTCGGGTGTCACCCGGTGCGGCACTTAATGGTGTCACCCCCCAGAGGCATAGCGACCCTTCCCGGGGACAAACTTTCAAAATTTCGATCTGCACCCCCCCCCTCAAGTTTTCGATTTGCACCCCCCTCCCTCAAGTTTTTCTCTATATATTTTGCTATTTTTGACCTTGGTGTCACCCCCCCCCCCCAAATGGTGTCACCCGGTGCGGTCCGCATCCCCGCCCCCCCCCCCCTCGCTACGCCTCTGATATATATATATATATATATATATATATATATATATATATATATATATATATATATACAGAGAGAGACAGACAGACAGACAGACATACAGACTTACAGACAGACAGACAGACAGACAGACAGACAGACAGACAGACAGACAGACAGACAGACAGACAGACAGACAGACAGACAGATAGACAGATAGACAGATAGATAGATAGATAGATAGATAGATAGATAGATAGATAGATAGATAGATAGATAGATAGATAGATAGATAGATAGATAGATAGATAGATAGATAGATAGATAGATAGATAGATAGATAGATAGATAGATAGATAGATAGATAGATAGATAGATAGATAGATAGATAGATAGATAGATAGATAGATAGATAGATAGATAGATAGATAGATAGATAGATAGATAGATAGATAGATAGATAGATAGATAGATAGATAGATAGATAGATAGATAGATAGATAGATAGATAGTAGATAGATAGATAGATAGATAGATAGACAGATAAAAGGGCAAACGGCTTCCCGCTTGAAGAAATACCTAGACTCTAGACATACTTCCCATAGTTAGATCTAGTTGTTAGTACATAATTACTCAACAGCTAGAACATTGACCATCATCTACACACGAAAGCTTTCCGTCAATCAAATATCAACTTACCTCCAGGCCGCACTGTTTACCGATGCTACCAAATGTCTTGATTTGGTAGATTTCTAGAACACATACAACTAGCTAGATCTAGGACTTTCCTACTTGAGTACGATCTTCAGTAAGACTTCAATAACTGATTTGGTGAGGCTATCCAAAATATCTTGAAATCAAAAGTATTGTATTCGATTATCTTATACAACAGTTGATTAGCTAATAGAACAATGGATTATCTAATAGAATTCTGTTGTTGCCTCTAATCCTATCGAAGAATTTTGATGTGGCGCTAGAATTGTTGGCCGTTTCAGATTGTCCTCATAGGCTTGTGGAGCCGATCAAGTCTTATCCTGAGCTGTCAATCAAATTGATACGGCGCCGCCAGTTACGTGCTTGCTCGTGTTGGAGGCGGGAGGCTTGCTCAAACGGCGATGGTTTACGTGGAATTTCAGCCAATCAGATTATAGGAGACAACAAGCATTGCGTCGTAGCTGCGAGAGGAATTGACGATGGCGAATCACTGAGGCCCAGCAGCTGATTGGTCCAAGCGATCAGCGCTAGCCCCGCCTACCCAACAACTAAGCGAGGCTAAAAACATTTCATTAACCGCGGCGGCAAGCAGCTGATTTCTGTAGCTCTGCATTGTTTTTAGTTCTAGCACCCATATTACACGTTTAGATCTATATCCCATATGACATATGACTGGTTTTAGGACCATTTTCATTGAAATATCGTTCTGCAACTATAGATGTTTAAGATAACATAAATTACTACCCTAACCAAACCCTAACCCAACCCTACCCACCTAACCAGTTGCGGCAACACATGGTGTCCCTCCCCCCACCAAAGGAAAAGTATATGATATATATATATATATATATATATATATATATATATATATATATATATATATATATATATATATATATATATATATATATATATATATATATATATATATATATATATATATATATATAGGGTTCACAGTTAATAGTAAAGATATTTATATTTAGTCGATTATTAAAATAGCTAGATGTAGCTCTATTTTCTTTTGAATTAGTAGGTTTATGTCATGGTGTCAACGCGACCCCCCCCCCCCCCCCCCTCCCCAACCCCCTCCACCGCTCCTTGTCGGGATCGTCAATTTGTACCAAAAATACTTTTTAACAAATGAATCATTTATTGAACTGGTAAAAAGCATTTGTTCTACACATTTTTTTCTTGATGTCACCCCATGTATGGTTTCACTCGGTGCGGTCCGCACACCCCCCACTCCCCCTGTATCGTGACGCCTCTGACCCTTACGCTAACCCTAACCCTAACCCTAACCCTAATACTAACCATGATCAAAGTTAAACATGAACGAAAACGTCAAGTAAAAGTTAAGTCAAGATTCCTCTTCAGATTTAGCGATCCATAGGACAGATGGAGTCGAGTTTATACGTTTCTTGACTTCGGCGTATAAAGGAATAACGTGATCAGCACTATACCCAGCGGCCATAACTATCCCAAACGTGAGTTAGGTACCCATCAGAGCTGGATAGACTCAGGGACGTTATTCTGACTTGAACCCTAACTCTAAATGATAACCGTAAAGTAAACATAAACATAGGCCTATTTGTAACCCAATCCCAATCTCCACTCCCAGCCCAATCCCTGTAATTATCTTAACCCTAACCTTATAATTATCCCTATTTCTATAACTATCACTATCTCTATCGCTATCCTTATTCCTATTCTTATCTCTACATCAAACCTGAGAAGAAGTAGGTTCATCGGAACACCTTTCATGTACAGCTTACGATTGAGCAGCTTTAATTACACCAACCTACACCAACCTACACCAACCTACACCAACCTACACCAATCTACCCAACCTACACCAACCTACACCAACCTACACCAATCTACACCAACCTACACCAACCTACACCAACCTACACCAACCTACACCAATCTACCCAACCTACACCAAACTACATCAACCTACACCAACCTACACCAACCTACACCTAACTACATCAACCTACACCAATCTACACCAACCTACACCAACCTACACCAACCTACACCAATCTACACCAACCTACACCAACCTACACCAACCTACACCAACCTACACCAACCTACACCAACCTACACCAACCTACACCAATCTACCCAACATAGAAGCAAATATTGCATGGCAACTGAGGACAACAGCCCTTCATTGTTTTCCAGCAAGAGTTGCAACGGTCGAATCACGTGACTGGCAACAATGCCAGGCTTGTTCCAGCCCGTAGCCACCACTTGCTGGAAGATCTGTGCGCCCGAAAGCACCCCGTGGCGCCCTGCAGCCCACAGTGGCGCCCCACAGCGCCCAGCCACTTTTACAACCTTCATTAAAAAAATTCGCGACAGGTGTTGAGATGGAGCCCAGAGTGGCTGATCCTTATGTGAGGTGGGGGCCCAGAGTGGCTTATCCTTATGTGAGGTGGGGGCCCAGAGTGGCTGATCCTTATGTGAGGTGGGGGCCCAGGGTGGCTGATCCTTATGTGAGGTGGGGGCCCAGAGTGGCTGAGGTGGGGGCCCAGAGTGGCTGATCCTTATGTGAGGTGGGGGCCCAGAGTGGCTGATCCTTATGTGAGGTGGGGGCCCAGAGTGGCTGATCCTTATGTGAGGTGGGGGCCCAGAGTGGCTGATCCTTATGTGAGGTGGGGGCCCAGAGTGGCTGATCCTTATGTGAGGTGGGGGCCCAGAGTGGCTGAGGTGGGGGCCCAGAGTGGCTGATCCTTATGTGAGGTGGGGGCCCAGAGTGGCTGATCCTTATGTGAGGTGGGGGCCCAGAGTGGCTGATCCTTATGTGAGGTGGGGGCCCAGAGTGGCTGATCCTTATGTGAGGTGGGGGCCCAGAGTGGCTGATCCTTATGTGAGGTGGGGGCCCAGAGTGGCTGATCCTTATGTGAGGTGGGGGCCCAGAGTGGCTGATCCTTATGTGAGGTGGGGGCCCAGAGTGGCTGAGGTGGGGGCCCAGAGTGGCTGATCCTTATGTGAGGTGGGGGCCCAGAGTGGCTGATCCTTATGTGAGGTGGGGGCCCAGAGTGGCTGATCCTCATGTGAGGTGGGGGCCCAGAGTGGCTGATCCTCATGTGAGGTGGGGGCCCAGAGTGGCTGATCCTTATGTGAGGTGGGGGCCCAGAGTGGCTGATCCTTATGTGAGGTGGGGGCCCAGAGTGGCTGATCCTTATGTGAGGTGGGGGCCCAGAGTGGCTGATCCTTATGTGAGGTGGGGGCCCAGAGTGGCTGATCCTTATGTGAGGTGGGGGCCCAGAGTGGCTGATCCTTATGTGAGGTGGGGGCCCAGAGTGGCTGATCCTTATGTGAGGTGGGGGCCCAGAGTGGCTGATCCTCATGTGAGGTGGGGGCCCAGAGTGGCTGATCCTCATGTGAGGTGGGGGCCCGTAGTGGCTGATCCTTATGTGAGATGGGAGCCCAGAGAATGAGTGGCCGATCCTTATGTGAGGTGGGGGCCCGTAGTGGCTGATCCTTATGTGAGGTGGGGGCCCAGAGAATGAGTGGCTGATCCTTATGTGAGGTGGGGGCCCAGAGAATGAGTGGCTGATTCTTATGTGAGGTGGGGGCCCAGAGAATGAGTGGCTGATCCTTATGTGAGGTGGGGGCCCGTAGTGGCTGATCCTCATGTGAGGTGGAGGCCCAAAGTGGCTGAGGTGGGGGCCCAGAGAATGAGTGGCCGATTCTTATGTGAGGTGGGGGCCCGTAGTGGCTGATCCTTATGTGAGGTGGGGGCCCAGAGAATGAGTGGCTGATCCTTATGTGAGGTGGGGGCCCGTAGTGGCTGATCCTCATGTGAGGTGGAGGCCCAAAGTGGCTGATCCTTATGTGAGGTGGGGGCCCAGAGAATGAGTGGCTGATCCTTATGTGAGGTGGGGGCCCGTAGTGGCTGATCCTTATGTGAGGTGGGGGCCCAGAGAATGAGTGGCTGATCCTTATGTGAGGTGGGGGCCCGTAGTGGCTGATCCTCATGTGAGGTGGAGGCCCAAAGTGGCTAATCCTTATGTGAGGTGGGGGCCCAGAGAATGAGTGGCTGATCCTTATGTGAGGTGGGGGCCCGTAGTGGCTGATCCTTATGTGAGGTGGGGGCCCAGAGAATGAGTGGCCGATCCTTATGTGAGGTGGGGGCCCAGAGTGGCTGATCCTCAATTGAGGTGGGGGCCCAGAGAATGAGTGGCTGATCCTTATGTGAGGTGGGGGCCCGTAGTGGCTGATCCTTATGTGAGGTGGGGGCCCAGAGTGGCTGATCCTTATGTGAGGTGGGGGCCCGTAGTGGCTGATCCTTATGTGAGGTGGGGGCCCAGAGAATGAGTGGCCGATCCTTATGTGAGGTGGGGGCCCAGAGTGGCTGATCCTCAATTGAGGTGGGGGCCCAGAGAATGAGTGGCTGATCCTTATGTAAGGTGGGGGCCCAGAGTGGCTGATCCTTATGTGAGGTGGGGGCCCAGGGTGGCTGATCCTTATGTTAGATGGGGGCCCAGGGTTAGCCGGCTGGTAGGGTTAGCCTTCCAACTCTGTGTGCGGAAATTAATTTTTAGTTCTACAAAAGTTAGAAAATATATATTTAAAAAAAATGTGTTTAGAAAACAAATGTTTTTTTTATTTTTGAGCTTTTCTTTTTAGGGATCGCATCAACACACCTCCTACCCCCCCCCCCCCCCCCCCCCCCCTCAACATGTTCTTACCCCGTCCCACAAGGAAACATCTTGTAGTGGGGCGCCCCAGTGCGATCAAACAAGACCCCAAGAGAAGGCAACTCGTGATATTGTAATAGACGGGATTGTCTTCCCCTGGTGGCGGATCCCTAGAGATCAAGCTATGATCAAACGAACCAGTTAGAATAGCTTTACGCTCTACTTGTAGTATTAGCTCTACCTTCTACTTGTAGCATTAGTTTTACGCTCTACTTGTAGCATTAGCTCTACGCTATTGTAGCATTAGCTTTACACTCTTGTAGCATTAGCTTTACGCTATTATAGCATTAGCTTTACGCTATTGTAGCATTAGCTCAACGCTCTTGTAGTATTGGCTTTACGCTATTGTAGTATTAGCTTTACGCTCTTGTAGCATTAGCTTTACGCTCTTGTAGTATTAGCTTTACGCTCTTGTAGTATTAGCTTTACGCCCTTGTAGTATTAGCTTTACGCTATTGTAGCATTCTCCCAAAACCTGATAACTATTTTATTCATTTACAAAAGATAGTGACGTCATTAGGTACTAGTTTGACCTGAAGGATTTGGGTTTAAAAAATACGGCTTACAGTCGTACCATCTTGCACCATACCTCACAGCAAACCTCACAGCAAACCTCACACCAAACCTCACAGCAAACCTCACACCAAACCTCATACCATACCTCACACCAAACCTCACACCAAACCTCACAGCAAACCTCACACCAAACCTCACAGCAAACCTCATACCATACCTCACACCAAACCTCACACCAAACCTCACACCAAACCTCACACCAAACCTCACACCAAACCTCACAGCAAACCTCATACCATACCTCACACCAAACCTCACACCAAACCTCACAGCAAACCACACACACCAAACCTCACAGCAAACCTAACAGCAAACCTCACACCAAACCTCACACCAAACCTCACAGCAAACCTCACAGCAAACCTCACACCAAACCTCACAGCAAACCTAACAGCAAACCTCACACCAAACCTCACACCAAACCTCACAGCAAACCTCATACCATACCTCACACCAAACCTCACAGCAAACCTCACAGCAAACCTCACACCAAACCTCACAGCAAACCTCACAGCAAACCTCACACCAAACCTCACAGCAAACCACACACAGCAAACCTCACACCAAACCTCACACAACAAACCTCACAGCAAACCTCACACCAAACCTCACAGCAAACCTCACACCAAACCTCACAGCAAACCACACACAGCAAACCTCACACCAAACCTCACACAACAAACCTCACACCAAACCTCACAGCAAACCTCACACCAAACCTCACAGCAAACCTCACACCAAACCTCACAGCAAACCTCATACCATACCTCACAGCAAACCTCATACCATACCTCACACCAAACCTCACAGCAAACCTCACAGCAAACCTCACAGCAAACCTCACAGCAAACCTCACACCAAACCTCACACCAAACCTCACAGCAAACCTCACAGCAAACCTCACACCAAACCTCACACCAAACCTCACAGCAAACCTCATACCATACCTCACAGCAAACCTCATACCATACCTCACACCAAACCTCACAGCAAACCTCACAGCAAACCTCACAGCAAACCTCACAGCAAACCTCACACCAAACCTCACAGCAAACCTCATACCATACCTCACAGCAAACCTCATACCATACCTCACACCAAACCTCACACCAAACCTCACAGCAAACCTCACACCAAACCTCACAGCAAACCTCACAGCAAACCTCACACCAAACCTCACACCAAACCTCACAGCAAACCTCATACCATACCTCACAGCAAACCTCATACCATACCTCACACCAAACCTCACAGCAAACCTCACAGCAAACCTCACAGCAAACCTCACACACCAAACCACACAGCAAACCTCACAGCAAACCTCACAGCAAACCTCATACCAAACCTCACAGCAAACCTCACAGCAAACCTCACAGCAAACCTCACACACCAAACCACACAGCAAACCTCACAGCAAACCTCACACCAAACCTCACAGCAAACCACACACAGCAAACCTCACAGCAAACCTCACAGCAAACCTCACAGCAAACCTCACAGCAAACCTCACAGCAAACCTCACACCATACCTCACACCAAACCTCACAGCAAACCTCACAGCAAACCTCACAGCAAACCTCACAGCAAACCACACACCAAACCTCACACCAAACCTCACAGCAAACCTCACAGCAAACCTCACACCAAACCTCACACCAAACCTCACAGCAAACCTCACAGCAAACCTCACACCAAACCTCACAGCAAACCTCACACCAAACCTCACAGCAAACCTCATACCAAACCTTACAACAAACCACACACACCAAACCTCACACCAAACCTCACACCATACCTCACACCAAACCTCACAGCAAACCACACACAACAAACCTCACACCAAACCTCACAGCAAACCACACACACTATACCTCACACAACAAACCTCACACCAAACCTCACACCAAACCTTACAACAAACCTCACACCAAACCTCACACACCAAACCTCACAGCAAACCACACACACCAAACCTCACACCAAACCTCACAGCAAACCTTACAACAAACCACACACAGCAAACCTCACAGCAAACCTCACAGCAAACCTCACACCAAACATTACAACAAACCACACACACCAAACCTCACAGCAAACCTCACACCAAACCTCACAGCAAACCACACAGCAAACCACACACCAAACCTCACAGCAAACCTCACACCAAACCTCACACCAAACCTTACAACAAACCTCACACCAAACCTCACACACCAAACCTCACAGCAAACCACACACACCAAACCTCACACCAAACCTCACAGCAAACCTTACAACAAACCACACACAGCAAACCTCACAGCAAACCTCACAGCAAACCTCACACCAAACATTACAACAAACCACACACACCAAACCTCACAGCAAACCTCACACCAAACCTCACAGCAAACCACACAGCAAACCACACACCAAACCACACAGCAAACCTCACACACCAAACCTGACAGCAAACCACACACACCAAACCTCACAGCAAACCTCACAGCAAACCACACACACCAAACCTCACAGCAAACCACACACTAAACCTCACAGCAAACCTCACACCAAACCTTACAACAAACCACACACACCAAACCTCACAGCAAACCTCACACCAAACCTCACAGCAAACCTCACAGCAAACCACACAGCAAACCACACACACCAAACCTCACAGCAAACCTCACACCAAACATTACAACAAACCACACACACCAAACCTCACAGCAAACCTCACAGCAAACCACACAGCAAACCACACACAGCAAACCACACACACCATACCTCACAGCAAACCACACACACCAAACCTCACAGCAAACCACACACACCAAACCTCACACCAAACCTTACAACAAACCACACACACCAAACCTCACAGCAAACCTCACACCAAACCTCACAGCAAACCACACAGCAAACCACACACAGCAAACCTCACACACCTAACCTAACACCAAACCTCACACCAAACCTCACAGCAAACCACACACAACAAATCTCACACCAAACCTCACACCAAACCTCACAGCAAACCACACACACCCTACCTCACACAACAAACCTCACACCAAACCTCACACCAAACCTTACAACAAACCTCACACCAAACCTCACACACCAAACCTCACAGCAAACCACACACACCAAACCTCACACCAAACCTCACAGCAAACCTTACAACAAACCACACACAGCAAACCTCACACCAAACCTCACAACAAACCTCACACCAAACCTTACAACAAACCACACCCACCAAACCTCACACCAAACCTCACACCAAACCTCACACCAAACCTCACAGCAAACCTCACAGCAAACCACACACAGCAAACCTCACACACCAAACCTCACAGCAAACCTCACACACCAAACCTCACAGCAAACCTCACACCAAACCTCACAGCAAACCATACACACCAGACCTCACAGCAAACCACACACACCAAACCTCACAGCAAACCACACACACCAAACCTCATAGCAAACCACACACACCAAACATCACACCAAACCTCACACCAAACCTCACAGCAAACCACACACACCCTACCTCACACAACAAACCTCACACCAAACCTCACACCAAACCTTACAACAAACCTCACACCAAACCACACACACCAAACCTCACAGCAAACCACACACACCAAACCTCACACCAAACCTCACAGCAAACCTTACAACAAACCACACACAGCAAACCTCACACCAAACCTCACAACAAACCTCACACCAAACCTTACAACAAACCACACCCACCAAACCTCACACCAAACCTCACACCAAACCTCACACCAAACCTCACAGCAAACCTCACAGCAAACCACACACAGCAAACCTCACACACCAAACCTCACAGCAAACCACACACAACAAACCTCACAGCAAACCTCACACCAAACCTCACAGCAAACCATACACACCAGACCTCACAGCAAACCACACACACCAAACCTCATAGCAAACCACACACACCAAACATCACACCAAACCTCACACCAAACCTCACACCAAACCTCACACCAAACCTCACACCAAACCTCACAACATACCTCACACCAAACCTCACACACCAAACCTCACACCAAACCTCACAGCAAACCACACACACCAAACCTCACAGCAAACCTAACAGCAAACCTCACACCATACCTCCCTCACAGCAAACCTCACAGCAAACCTCACAGCAAACCTCACA